TAGTTCCCATGCGAAAGGGAGTACGTAATTGACATCGACTGTACAAACAGACATTCAGCTTTATATATAAGAAGATCAAATTTCATTGCATTCAATTTTCTGGCCAAAATCTGAGCAATATTAAATGGCGGTTTTTCTCAAATTTAGCTGTTGTATGCAAAAGTTATCTACGTTACGCACACTTTCTTTGCAGATTTCTAGATTGAGATATGTCTCCTCAATTTGAGCACCCAGTGCGCTCAATCTGTTACCCATAAATTTTTTTGAAGAAGACAATTGCCAAAGAATTGCCGCTGTGAGCGTAAGCGTCATCCTGTTGACAATTTTTGCAGAAACATCCATTTGTCCAGTACACAGGAAATCGGAATTTCTATGATTCAGGACCTTGGGGCTTACTAAAATATCAGGGCCCGGCACGAGGTGGGCAGATAGGGTTTTTCAAAACGAATTCCCCTTTGATCCCAAAATTTTTTACGAATACCTCCTTGAGCCCAAAAAAGATGATTTGTGCTTGTGCAACGCAGGCACCGGCCAAACGTTGCTCAAAGCGCAAAGAGCGCTTGAATTCTATTCTCTCTTCATCCTCCTCACTTAACACGTCCACGCTAGCCTAAGGGCAAGCACGTTTATATGCAAGCGGAAAGTATGTTAAGAGAGATGAGAAATATGAAGAGAGATCAAAAAAGTGTGGGCGCTTTCAAGCGCTTCTGGGCGAAGCCTGCGGTGCTGAATACTTTACCAAAAAAACTCCACTGATATTTAGAATGAAAACAAAACATCAAAACGACGTTAAAGGCACCGTCCACCCAAAATTTCGACCTCCATGTTTTTGCCGTTCCAGAGCCTTCTCATACCCCTGATTCCGAATATCAAGTTGAAAATCCGCGAAAACCACGAAAAACCCTCGTTTTAGAACCAGCAGAGCGATTTCTTCGGTACGGTGATTGGTTGGGCGCGCATGGATGGGCGGGACGAACGTCACGCCCACTCCGAAAGGGGAGGAGCCAGCGTCGCGAACGCGGCCTGAAGCGATTTCCGAGGCAATTTTCTCGGTTCGGAAGCAACTTCAGGCAGCGCGAGTTGGGCAATCATACAGTTGGGGGCCCCGCATTTGCTAGGTATCATAATCTCGCCAACCCCAATTTGGGTGGACGGTGCCTTTAAAGTAGCTGTCCTACAAGATAATACAAGGAAAAACATGAGAAACTGGTTATAGGACTGAGTGGCGCCATTCCCGCGCATATCGATCGAGTGGGGCGCGCTTTCCTTAGTAAGAAAGGGTGCCGCTGATCCTATTTTGACTATAGTAAAGAGGAGAGGAGGAGTTTTGAAGCCAAAATTCTACCATGAGTAAAATTAAGGTGTAGAAGAGAATTATGTAAAAAAGTTTGAAAAATTAGTTTGTGAAACGGAAGTTTTCCCCACCTCAGGTGGGCATTAGGTGGGCAATTGCATACCTAATTTGGAAAAAGTTGGACACGCTCTTCATTCACATAAGCTTTTCATAATTTTTCATACACTGTTCCTTAGTCCTACTGCGCGTATACACACCAAGTCTCGCGCGATTTCGTTTCCTCTGCGCTGCAAACGAGCCATTTTTCCATTTTCTTGATAGTGGGAAACATTCAGAAAAAAGCTTGCCACAACCTTCAGTCACATAATTTTTCAATGAAACTTCTAAGTTAAGCCCTGAAGGCTTGCGTTCATATGCCTACCAAGTTTCATATGTATGGTCATCTGTGCGCTGCAAACGAGAAATTTGAATTCACATCTTCGTTTACCAGTTTTGCAAAATTTTTGGAAAATGCTTATTACACCTCCCATTCACATAAGTTTTTCATATTTCACTCTTTGTTTCTCCCAGCCTCTCTTCGATAGCTCACGTAATTTGGTGCTATATCGTTACGCCTGCGTTGAGAACTGATCATGTAATTATGCTGTTTAACAGCATCGCCTATGCGACGTCGCGCACGCGGCACTTAGCGCCGGCGCGGCGTAGCGCGCGAACTCTGATGTATAAGCTAATAAGCATGATTCGACCTTCTTTTGCTTGCACTTGGAATCTCTTTCCGGGGCTCTGCCCCGCACCCCGCAAAAACGATTTCCCCTGCTTTTTCCATCAAAAATGATTTCCAGCTTGTCATTTGCCCACCTTGTGCGGGGCCCTGCAAAATATGTTTGAAAAAACAATTTCAGGTAATAATTTCTTTTCTTTTTGCAAGTCTTTTTGTCCAATCTTTACACCTTCTTTTGTCCAGATGGCTTGCGGCTACATGATATACAACAGATCGTTTATACTAACGAACTGTGAAAGAAGTTATGATTTGTCAAAAATAGGGTATTAGAAAAGAAACTGTTTTTGTCTTCTGATGATTTTTATCGCATTCAAAATTTCTCACAATTGAAATGTTAAAGCACGTCAGAAGGAAAACTCAAAACGCATTATTTTTGCATCAACCTTATATTTTTCATGGAGATAGTGTTAGTACGCAGTTACACTTCAAATTTAAATGAGGAAAAATATCAGATTTTAATCACAAAATAAATCCAAAGCAGGTTTACGTGCCTGAACACATAAAGTGCGGTTCATAATTATACGAACACCCAAAATTTCGTAAGTTTTTGGACTTTTTGGGAGAAACTGAAAAAACCGTTGGTATCACGCGATAGAACACAGCCGAAAACGATACACGATCCATAAAAATGGAAATTGATGTCAATCTTAAGAGTGTTTTTGCGCCAAATGCGAATTTTTTGCGGTTCATAATTATACGAACACCTCAAACAAAGGTCCATTTTTCATTCGAGATTGCAACCATTTAAGTCTAAATTTTTTGTAAAGTTACAATAACAAAGTCTGACATATCTGCTACACACTGAACCCAGTGCAGTTCAAAAAGAGGACCGTTACTTTTTTAGAAGGCTCTAAATGCGTTTGGAGTAATTGCGCTCCAAAAACATCCGTTCTTTGGTTTACGCGCTCTAATTAGCCTCTACCAAAACTATGAGATAAAATAAGCTTTTTTCGTTTGGTATTTTGTTTGATGCTTGGAAAATCTTTGCGTTTTCATGCCGTTTTTCAACCAATTTCAATTCCAACCTTACCCTAGAGTTAGCACGATTTCGAGCTTCAAAACTCGGCTTCTGAAGCCGTAAAATGAAGTAAGCAGATAGTATATAGAGGTTCACAAGATTGTGTATTTGGCTAGAAAAGATCAGCAGCGTTGAGCGTTTGTTTTGGCCACGCAGACGTCTCACCAAAAACACTGTTTTTACTATTGCAATCACACCTATTTGGTTTGTAGCTCCACAGCCTCAAGATCAGTTCTACAAACAACCCAAAAACTTTGGCACAGAAACACCATCATGCAAACAATGCAGCTGCTTCATATCAAATGTTTGCGCAAGAGAGAAGCTGAGTTTTGAAGCTCAAAATCATGCTAACTCTAGGGTAAGATTGAAATTTGGTTGAAAAACGGCACGAAAACGCAAAGATTTTTCAAGCATCAAACAAAATACCAATCAGAAAAGCTTATTTTATCTCATAGCTTTGGTAGAAGTCAATTAGAGTGCGTAAACCACAGAAGAATGGATGTTTTTGGAACGCAATTACTCCAAAAGCATTTAGAGCCTTCTAAAAAAAGTAACGGTCCTCTTTTTAAACTGCGTTGGGTTCAGTGTGTAGCACACATGTCAGATTTTATTACTGTAACTACACAAAAAATTTGGACTCAAATGATTGCAATCTTGAATGAAAAATGGACCTTTGTTTGAGGTGTTCGTATAATTATGAACCGCTAAAAATTTGCATTAGTCGCAATAACACTCCTAAGATTGACATCAGTTTCCATTCTTATGGATCACATACCGTTTTCGGCTGTGTTCTATCGTGTGGTACCAACGGCTTTTTGCGTTCCTCCCAAAAAGTCCGAAAACCTACAAAATTTTGAGTGTTCATATAATTGTGAATCGCACTTTACTTTACTAGAACCAATAAACACACTGCCGTATTTTTGGTTGTCGAATGCCAAGAATCAAGGGACAGATAAGAACTACTAGTAAAGTAACTCGTAGACTAGCGAATCTATACCTCTTCTAATCATATAGCATTTACATTCGGGTACAGTCATAGTTTTCGGAGTCATAAGAGGTCAAAAATATGGGACATTTATTTTGATAATTTCTTTGCATCTACATTTGAATGGAGGTCTGTAATAGAACCACAATGATTCAAATGAAACCAAGAATAAATGGGTATGAACAAATGTGTAGGAGGATAGGTCATTATTTTTTTGTTCTGCGTCAGATCGTTATGGTAATTCTCGCGTGTGCATAATTTATCGTCTTCAAAAAATTAGGTTGGAAAGAAGAGAATGTCTTTTTCGGGTTTCCTCAGTTAAGATTGATATTTCTCAAGACCTAGGGCATATCACGGCCAAAGATTTATGGTGAAAGTTTTGTAGGTTTGTAGCATATAACGGTAAATAAGGGATGGAACTCAGGACTACTGGGGACGAGTTTGTCATTTTCGGTGTTCATTTTTTTTGATCTCTAAGCATGAAAAAAATATAGCAATTGTATCTATTGATAAGTGCATGTGTCTGTTACATGTTTTTCGGGGTGAAAATCCGATTTTTGACATCATGAGTTGCTCATATGTTTTGGTACCAAACTTTGCGCAAAACAAGCCTTCTGCAAATGTTCAAAGATCATTTTATAAAGCTTTCTTTGCTCTACTGAATGCCCCTCACAGATTTTTTTGGATCTTATTGCTTTGCCATAAAAACGACATTCTTCTCTTTCCAACCGATTATAAGGAAATGAAGGAATACCGTGTCCTGCTCTTGTATTTTACCTCCCAAAAAAGGGGTAGCTCGCTGCATTTGAGAAGGAATTAAAGTTTATGAATAAATGATTACTATGAAAATATTTATAGTAATAGTCAAGCGTATAGAAGCAGCGCAAGAATGTGGTCTACGGACGATATTGAAATTACTCACCTTCAAAATCTGATCAAATACGGGATCTGCTTCTCCTTTGCGAGGTGTCGTCTTGTTCTTCAAGACTGCGACGCCAGTGTCACGGGCTATTAACACTACCTGAGCTCATCGCATTTTTTGGCAGAACTCCAAAAAAGGAGAAGAAAAATTTAAAGTACCTTTACGTATGGATTTGGTTTATGACTTCCAAAATGAGGCAATGATCGGCACTGAATTATATGCACACAGAAGCAAGCGGATCTAATATCGTAGCTGAGAATAAGTTGCACTTCGCCGAGGAATGTTGCCGCTTGTGAGGACGCTTGAGACTGAAAAGACATATAAACTGTATCTAAAATGGTAGTACAATCTGAAAAATAAAAATATTCATGACCAACCGCGACACTTGCTTTGGTACAACCGTCCGTTGACGTCTCTGTGGCGTATGAGGCAACCGAAAGAGAATCGCGGCTACTGGCTGGCGTGATGACGCGACCTCCTTCTGAAATTGCATTTTTTAGAAGATTTTTTATTGCGCTAATCTAGATCTCCACGCCATGACCAGGCCTTTCATGACGTTAGCAAATTATGGCTACATATGTTTGGGACGAGTTTCATATCCAGATTAAGTCCATCAAATTTGCTAGAGAATCTCTCCAGACAATGATGTTGAGTTCAAAGAACTTCTCTAACATTTTTATAATAAAATCGAAATTCCTCAGAGTATAATAGTTCGTTGTGTACCTATGAAAATCTCTGAAGCACTATTTATGCACGGTTTTGTTGTTACTTTGTATCTTGAATTCTTCTTTCAACTAGCACCCTACACGTAAAATTTATCAGATCGTAAAACATTGCCAAGTTATGGTCTAACAAGGGAGAATACTAAGTTGAAGTGGCATTTATGTATGCGCTAAGTCTAAATCTGCTTTCGGCAAAAGGGATTTTAGATGGGGAGTTATGGAAATTTTTTTAAGCAGAATTTTGACAGGAGGCTACAATAAAGTCACTCGGTACTGTAGTTTGTTAGCCCAAATGAGGAAGCTTAGTGCCAGGGCGCTTTTTGCAATTCTTGTTTCCAGTCTAATAAATTCATGCTACTAGTTATTCCTTTCAAGCCCTGGAAAGACCTCAACACCTAGTTTTACTTTAGCCAAATCCTTGAATTTTTACGTAAAAATCCCGTAACTCCCCTCCCAAAAGCGCTTTGTAGCGAAAGCAGATTTGAAGTCTGCGTACCACGCTTTACAGAATAGTATACATTTCATTGTAAACGCCACTGCGATCAAGTATGCTTCCCTTACAAAACTTTTTTCCACATGCAAGAAGTAAATAGCTTCATGGTCCAAAAGTATAGCAGATTTTTCGTAAAATATTATTTGGCTAATTGGCTTGTGACTGGTAGATGACTTATAAGTTATGGAAAACTTGATTGCACTTAGTAAATTTGTGTGGTTACGAGGGTAGGAGTTTTCATTTTATAAATTTTGAATCTACCACCCTAGAACCTTTTTTTCCAAAAGTTATGATTAAACATTCGAAGTTAGGAGTGTCCAGCAGCTTCTAACTATTCCAATTATCGAATACAGATAGCCTTACGCTTCTGCAGAGTGCTTGTAGTGTGACCACAATGGGAACATGTATGATGTTGACTGGTTCCATTTGCTAGTTCTTTCGTCGGCTGATTTTCTTTGTTTGGTATTTTTGATGGCTGTTGTCCAGTTGCTGGCTTCACTGCTCTGTTGCTATAGACAGCAATGCTATCTTTTGCTATTGATAGCTTAAGTCCTTCCGATGGCATTCTTGTTGGTTGATGTCCCGTTGGTGATTTGGGGCTTTGGTGATTTGGTGACATTGGTGGCTGTCGGCTGGTTGTTGATGTAGTTGATATTTTATGATTGGGTGATATTGATAGTTTGTGTCCTGGTGTTGGTAGGGGTACTTGATGATCATTTTCTCCTGTCGATGACACTTTTGATGATTGCCGTTCTGTTGGTGGATTTGAAACTTTACGAATTGGACTTGGTGATCGCTGACGAACAGATATGGGAGTTTTTGAGACATGAAGAACGGTTGTTGGTACACTTGGTGATCTATGATTCGGTACTATTGCTAATTTGCGCGGAGGTGGTGGTAAGTCTGGAACTGATTTCGATCCTCTTTGCTTATTTGCTACTTGCAATTCCGTTGCTTGCTTATTTGATTCATCTTTTGCTACTATTGATGGGCTACTCTTTGCTATGCGCTTGCTATCATCCATTCTTGCTGAAAATTGGAACATAAAATGAGTAACATGTAAAGAGGACGGGGAGAGTTTTGATGCTAGTCAATGCTGATGCTATTTGATAAAATCAGCAATTTAGCGCCAAAATGTTTGCGGTTTGGAAATTTTTTTTGGTGGGGAGTGACTATTTCTTCAAGGGAGAGGGCGTGGTGTTATGCACTTGGGCTTTATAAAAAGTTTTGGGATGCTTTCCCAAATTTTTGCTTTTTTGGAGCCCCAAAAATTTGTTTGGGCGATTTGAATTTTTGAAAGATGACAGTACTTCGATTATTCACATCCTTGCATCCCGCCTCCCATTGTGTGCAACTTTCCTTCTAGAACCTGCCCATCCAACAATTTTCCGAAAATATGATATTGTTGGAGAGGAGCTCACTATTCTTGCTTTCCACAAGTTTTTCACAAACAGGTCTTATTACTTCACTGGAATGTTCTTGTTTTTTATATGCAGCATGCCTTTTCGTACATCATTACATCATCTTGCAAAGTTATATAATTGATGTAGAACCCCTGCAAAAATTTTTAGACTCACTTTTCGGTGTGGGGGGGGGGGGGGGATGAGGGGAGGGATTGGCTAGTATTGCAAGGAGGCTTTCCAAGTCAAGGATGATTTCCGGTTAGGCGAATATCAATGAACATGCGTAACTAGTAACTATCGCATTACGATGAATACCTGTTCGACTGCATTCTTCAAATTCCTCACAAGTTAGCAGAACGTAAAGCTGCTTATTGTTAGTCCGTACATTAACTTAAGAGATGAAAGCTCATACGAACAAGATTTGAGTATTAGTTAACTCTGAACTCTGATTTCCTTCACAAAAATTTCTGCAGCTGAGGTAAGGAAAAATAGCAAAATGCGATTCTCCTGGTTGGAGAGTGTTTGCTTTCTTATAATTCTTCGTAGGGCTTGAATTCGAAGTCGTTTATGAAATTGTGAATAGCTTTCAAAAGCAGTTATATTAAAGGTACCAATTACCTATGACATTAGTGAACCTCTGACAGCAAGCAAACATCAAACTCCAAAGACTGTTCATCTATCTTACAATAACCTAGACTTGGGTTTTTTGCCGTACCCTAATTTCGGAGCTTCAGCTTGCACCCTTTTTCTAAGAAACATTCATTAAGGTCTCAATAGAATTTGCATTAGTAGATGAAATTTTAAATGTGAGTCCTCCCTCCTCCTCCCCCCCCCCCCCCTCCTATTGTGCAACTTTCTTTTTAGAACCTGCCCACCCAACTGTGTTCCAGAAATAGTAAATGTTGGAGACAAAGCTCACTCCTCTTGTTTTTCACAAGTTTTTCCGAAACAGGTCTTACTACTTCACTGGAATGCTCTTGTTTTTTATATGCAAGCATGCCTTTTCGTCCATCATTACATTCAGCAAACTGTTCGGTTTCAGGATGTCAAATGCACTTGTTCTTGAAAAAAGATTCGCCGTCAAAAGTCTACTTGTATCAAGCGCTTTACAAAATTTCAAGCGAGTGGGAAAACAGCAAAGTTAAAGAGAGATTTCAAGACCTAAGTATTGTATTCACGCCCCGAGATTTTTCATTTGTTTGTTAATGCTTGAACCTATTGAATGGTGTCGTGAGTATTTTCCTTTTTTTTTGCTTTCTCGCGTGAAAGTAATATTTATATTTGTCTTCAAATAGATTTCGCGGTAGTTTTTGTTAGCGCAAATCAAGATCTGCAAATATTAGGGTCCTATAATTTTTTATCGTTTGTACCCTAAATCTCAGCATTTCTCGAGAACTGTGGCACCTTCAAACTTTATAAATACATGCTACTGCTGCACAATACCTCTGTATGTATGAGCTACATGATCACGTGCGTGGGAGCGGCTCAGAATATCTAGGGGAGGAGTTTTCCATTTTACCCCATTCAACTTTTTTCTTTATTTCCAGCTATGGAAGAAATACGGATATAGTACAGTTGAATGTGCGATGTGTCAAGCATACGCTAGGATAAATGGGGAATCAAGACATTTTGGGACGTAGATACGATTTTTGGAGGAAAAGTTCGTTTTCGACTACTATCAGATTCCAGCTCAGAAATTGCGGTGAAATAAGATTTGGGCGAATTTTTCATAGTCAACTTGTAGAGCTTGCTTTGCCCTGTCGAATGATTACTCAAGCTACATCAATTGAAGCAAAAATACAAAGAGACGACGGTTTTATTAAAAACGGTAAAAAGTTATGGGACACCCTAATACCTTCCAAACATTTGCAAAATGTCTGCTCCACATATTGAAGAGAAAACGAGAAGTTCGAGCCATAAAAATCCAGAAAAAAATCCCTTTGCTCAAAAATTTTCTTACTTGCTCTTGGCATGCACTTTTATGTCGACATTTATATCTACGATTGCTGTAAATTCTCTTCTCTTTTCTTGAAAATCGAGATATAAAACAAAAATAAACCAAAACCACGAAAAAGCAGCTTTTTGAGTTTTTTGAGCTAAAATTTGAAATTTCTCATAATTTGTAAAAGGCTAAAAATGCACGGTTGTATACATAGGTTCATTGCCACAAACGCACTCATGTGAGAAGCGCACCACTATTCTGTCAAAAAACATGAAAATTATTGTTTTCCCAATTTCTGGCCATGGAAAAAACCAGCAAATTACATACAGATGCAGCATTTGGTAGGTACATGCATTAGTAAGTTCAAAATGCGTGGGAATTTTCTGGTAGTTTACGGCCTTTTCTTATTTTTCGGACATTTATAACCTTTTAGTATTAATCTCAAGCTCTATGTACAAATGCTTGGGCAAAACATGTTTGAAGATCAAGAAGAATATGACTTAATGCGGGAGATAATATAAATGGGAGAGGCTTAAGAGACAACTTCACTTAACAGCTTTTGACGACACTGGATGAAGAATGCTAAAAGACCATAAAAGAAACGGTATCGGTCAAAAAATTGACGGGTTTGATTACTGTGCTGAATAAGTTGCAAATACGAGACACGAGCTTGTCGAAGAGTATTATATGCTACTGAACGTAGAAAAAGAAAAAGTATACGAAAAAACTGCTTACTATGAAGTCTTGCCTCTTGGCTAGCCGATCTAGATGGCGGCAATGAATTTCCAGACGATCGACGTGATTCGCTACTGGAGACGTCAAGATGATCGTGTGTTTGAACCTACACAGAACCGATCCAAAGATAAACAAATAAAGAAACTAGGCTGAGATCTTACTTTCATCTTCCTAACCGTGATAGGGCCTTGCGACTGAGGTCGTTGACGGCGTACCGAAGTGTCATGAACAGGCTTTGAAGCTGCTACTGCTGCTGTCGCCTGCCAGTCTGGCATTCTTCCTGAGTTGTTGTTCGCACGTTGATCGACCTTGACCGCAGTTCTCTGAAAGCTATCACATCGACGTCGTGTTCAATGGTGCAATAATTCGGGAATGATCAGGAAGAGAAAAAAGAGAGAAATGAGGATAATGTAAGCACCGTCGGGATTTGTTGTCGCATGTCGGGATTTGACGATGTGACGACGCGGGAAGTGTACTGTTCGTTTCTCGGTGGTGGCGGTAGCTGTGGCACGTAACCTGTTGATTGAGCTGAAAGAATTTTTATTAAAATTTGCAATATTAATCAGTTTATTTTAGAACAAAAATTAGACATAGTTGGTTTTGAAGGTCCACTCATAGGATATATGGCTGTATGTAATAGTGTCTATTAACAAGGAAATGGTCAAAAGTCGAAGTGGCCAATCCATATAAGCTGCATACCTTTAGATGCAGTATAAAACGCTGACTCTGAATCTGTCTTCCTTATCTGCAGAGCGCCTTTGTTGACGAAATTATAAGCCGTTGAAAGCCATTATTTTGCTAAGAAATTGTGCGTGTGAAGTGCAAACTTGGCCGTACAAAGCCATTCTCGGCTCAGTGTTGGACCACAACATGCAACCAGGTCATTTCATATGACCCGTACCTAGAGATGAGCTGAAAGAGCAACAATGTGCCTAACGCAATACTTGTACGCGATTTTTTCGCAGTAAAGCTGCTCATAACTTCGCCTACAAAGGCGCTCTGCAGATACGGAAGATAGATTTGAAATCAGCACTTTATGCTGCATCGAATGGTATGCAGCTTGTATGGATTGGCCACTTCGACTTCTGACCATTCCCTTGTAAGAATTCATGTTTTGCAGAGATCTTAAATGAAAAATCATAGCTGGAGCATTTTTGGGGTAAGTAATTAATGAGTGATTGAACTGAATGACTTGAATGAGCTGAAAAAAGTAGATATGAGACATATGAATCAAAAAATTGGACACAAATTTTGAGAAATGTGTGGACTTCTTCTGTCATAGCGATTTCTAGTGCTTTGATCGAGAGATCCATAAGATTCAAGAGATCTTCCCACTTGTTCAGTGACGAACAAAAAAGACAAGAGAAACTCGATTATCCACGATACCACATGGAAATAGGAAATTGCCTTGAGAGATTCGAGAGAAATTTTGAATTTGTGAAAAGTCTATTTGAGTGAAATAATCAAGATGAATCAATTTTTCATTGAAAATAAAAGGGTGAGTAGTCGAAAAAACTCGCGAACAACAGATAAAGAAATGTAAGCAGGATGGTGAGTGAAAATTTTTGACGGAATGGACAGCATATAAGCAAAATTGGACGAGCAAAATAGAGTAAATGAATAATTGAGTGAAGTATGAGTGAATGATCCGCTCAAAAAATGAGCGAATCAATAAAATTGGCCAAGTGAAAGGTTTATGAAGCGCATAAATGAATGAACTTATTAACAGATAATTGAATGTATAAATTAGAACAAATGGTGATATAGTTTTCGAATGGACAATAATAATGAATGTAATTTGACTTTAGACAGGATGTAGAGCGACTTCCCATGAGTAAATATAGAATAATTTTGTGTAAAGATGATAGATACCTAAGCTGCATACATACTGTACCTATATCGATAACTGAAGGAATCGAAAGAGTCTGGAAAAAAAACGGGTAATTTACAACGATTAATTTTTGACTGAGGAAATGGAAGAAGGTGAAAAGTGACGTAAGTGAGGATAATTTTATAAATGTGCTTAGAAATAAATGGCAAAGAATTTCAAGACCAAATGACAAAGAAGTCGCGGATGTGCTGAAGTCGTCTAATAAGCTCAACCTAAAGGACTTTCGCTGGACAAGAGAGATCTGCAGCGGTTTTACAGGAATTTGTTTACTATTACAGTAGTTCGAGAGTTAAAAATGAGAGCTTCCGCAAGGATTGACGCTAAACTGATTGATTACTGAAACTTCCGCAACACTTTGCACAAAGTATGAAGGGAGGTTTGTTCTCTGAATGTCTAGTGGAAGTTCCGATCAGTCGTTTGATGGAATAAAGTGTGTGTTAAGTGTTGGAAGACGCCATAAGTATAGTATATACTATACTCGTACTTAGCAATTTGACAAAACAAATGATGAAAGAATGTTTGGTTGAATAGGTAAGTGTTTGAAACAGTCGAACTATGTGTCAGTTGTAGTATTAGGTTGTTAAATGAGTTTTTTACACTTTCTTCGTCTTATTCTGGAAAACTCTAGAAAACGGCAAGATTTCATATTTGGCATATATGGGGAAGCGATAAAGGGCTACCCGTTAGCACCATTTATGTTTTCACCACACTTACAGTAAATCTAAAGGCAACTCTATAAAGGCCCTATAATCTCCATTTTTTTCTATACTTTCTAAAAAATCTCTTATTCTTTTTCCAACTTTTTAGATTTTTTTGGGCATCTAGGAGCATTAGTAGTATCACTAGGCAGTTTGAAAGTTCAAGCTCTTTATTAACAAAAATTGGAAATTGGCCAAATATAGTCCGAAAAGATTTAAAATTTGATTTCTTGTATGTGAAATTTATAAATCGAAATTCTTCAGCATTACACATAGTCTGAAGAGAAGAAAAAATCATTTGACAAAGTTATGAGGTTATTTTTCAGTTGAATGTAACAAAAATCATTTTAACAACCTAACAGAATAAATTATAATTAAGTGAAAAATTTGACGTGTAGAATGAAGGAAATGAAGGAAGAGAAACCATAATTGAACTGAAACGAGAATTCTTACATTCTACAAATCATTCTAGAAGTGAAAATCTATATTCACAGCTAATCAAAGGAATGTTTTCGACATGTATGGGGGAGGCCGTAATGCTAATCTTTACGCTTGATCTAAAACTTTGCTTACGTAACGCTCAATTACAGCAGCATAACATCTCATAAATGTTGTGCGGGAAATTTGAATAATTGCCAAAAAGGGAGCCTATCAAACATGAGCTTTCTTCAGAATTCTGGCGAATATCCACAAGCCGCAAAGCTAGATCTATATTGATTGAATGATTTTTCAGCTACTTTTTCTAATTATGGCAATCTAACTAGGTGCGCAATGGATCGAACAGGTATAGAATCCAGCTTTTGGAGAGTTACTCGTAATATGGCCAAGAATGCCAGCCACTTGTTCTGGACCAAACCAGTCTCTGTGTTTGGAAAAAAAAGCCTCTAATGTACTAACCTCTGTGGTGAGAGGATGGACGAGCGGCATCCATGCAAGGTTTCGGACATTGATCTTGTTCTAAAAACATACGGGCCCATTACTCGGTTTCATGCCATAGGAGGGGGTACGGGGGAGGGGGGGGGGGGGGGGGAGGAACTGGTCTCACCTTCTGCTGGATTAGTCCATTGTCTTCTCAATGGACGTCGATTGTCAACTGGTTGCAATAGTTTGTCACTGTCGATTGTGATGCTTGCTCTGCTACTATAATAATTACAAAATTAGTATCCTTGCATAGTGCAATTGAGAAAATCGATTAAGAAGTTTAAGATAATTTGTATAATACAAAAAATCTGAATATTCTCTTACAGTTTGATAGCCGCCAACTCGATTTTGCTGCTTTTACTTTTACTTTTACAGCTTTTACTTCCTCCAATCACGACAGTTTTTACTTCTGACTAGAGCTCACACTGTTTTACTTAACAGTACTATCACTTACCCTTTGATTCAACTGGCTTGGCGGCTGGAAGACGGGTCTTCGTGTCCTAATTAAGGCTGGGTAATGATCAGAAAGTACGCGCGCGGGAGACACAGACTGCGTCGCGGGCACGAGCGGCCTTAATTAAGTCACAAAGCCCCGCCTTCCAGCCGCCAAGCCAGTTGAATCAAAGGTTGAATAAGATATTATATTACATTATTTTTCCCCAAGATTTTTATTCACGATAAGAATACTGCCAGTCCCTTAAATGATAATAAGCATTGCGGGAGTTCAAAAATCTTCTTGAAAGCCCTTCAAGAGAAATTCAATTCAACAAACAGTGAAGACTTGTGTTCAGGAAATGAGTTTCTTAATAGAGACATCCAATCACATAAACTCATATTAATGGTGGTCCGAAAAGGATTTTGCAGGAGAGGGAGGGGGGGGGGCTGACTGGTCTAAGCGTCAAAAAATTCTTCGAATGAAGCTGGCCCCACTATCCTAAGTCTTTTCGATAAGAAGCGTGAAGGCAGCCACACTTTTTTGCCCCCCCCCCCAGATTTACAAAACCTAATTTGGAAATTTTGAACATTTTGATATTTTACACGTAGAAACAAGTCAATAGCACAGTTTCATGATCAGGTGCCCACCCCCCTATCCTCTCTCTCCCCCCCCCCCCCCTTCGCTTCAAAAAACATCGCATAAAAGAGTTATTGTTGAAATTAGTTCGAGACTATGTACGGTTTTCTCCAAACATTGCAGTACTAATAGAACATGTGGAGATTGAGCTGATGACACCAGCTTCAGAAGAAAACATTTTTGCCATGATTTTTTTGAGGTGCGAATAATTACGCGAAATAATAATAAAACTGTTTTCTTTTCAATTGCTTTTGGTATGCTGAGAGGCTTGATAATTCTGAGAAATTTAGATTTAGAAATCTGAGATGCTTCAATTTTGAAGCATTTTCGATTTTCACTAGGTTGGCATAAGTTTTGTTAAACTTTGTTCGTCTTCTTCTGGAAAACTCTAGAAAATTCGGCAAGATCTCATATTTGGCATGTATGGGGAAGGGATAAAGAGCTATTCGCTGGCACCATTTATGCCCTCACTGCATGACTTACTGTAAATATAAAAGCAACTTTACAGAGGCACTTCAACCTCCACTTTCTTCTTTATTTTCTAAAAAAAATCTCATGCTTTCTTTTCCGGCTTTTTAGATTTTTTATCGACTTTTAGGAGCATTGGTATTAGGTTGGTGCAAAAGTAATGCGCATTTTGCGAGTTCTTACTTTGATGTGCTAACTTTCTAAAAAATCCATATTTATCAGTGCGGTAAAGTTCATCAGTAGCACCAAACCTCTCTCTATACAGCGCACCTTAATTTATGTTAATATCGCGAATCCGTAGAAAAATATGGATTGATAAGCAAAAAAATTTTTTTTCCGGAAACCTCGTTTTTAACTGATCATAACTTCCTTCAAGATTTGTCGGTATAAATGAGAAGTTGACTGTCTTGTAGCCGCAAGCCAGTAGTACAAAAAAAGTACAAAAGGGCTCATATAAAGAATATTTGCAAAAAGTAAAAAAAATAATATTAGGTCGTTCCGAAAGTTCTTTCCGTTTTTTCAACCTATCATAAAAACACGTGGAATGAAGGGAGGAGAACGCTTTGGGCACTATCGATGCATTTTTTCTTTTTCTTTTCAATAGTCATATTACCGTGTCGCTTGCTCTTATGGTCAGTTAGGTAATGGCCGAAATTTCGAACCCGTGGTTTTTACCATGTCCAAATTTGGCAATTTTTCACAATTTTCTTTTCTGACTTTTGGAGAAGCTTTAATAGCAGTTGGATAGAGTAAACAAAGTGCAATTTAACGGAATTCTTTGGCAATTTCAACTGGCTTCTCAGTATTTTTTGAGACAACTTTTTCAAGTCTTCACTATTTTGAAGTAACAAAACACACAAATGCTCCGAACAATAGCAAATCTTCGGATTTTGACACTATCAAAAGTCGTTTATGATTGTCCAAAATTTTTGCAAAGTAACTGAGCGTTTACCGCTTCGAAATATAAGATTTCGCATTTTACGTGCACACCCTCAGGCGGGTTCAAAATCAAGAGTTACGGAAATTTGAACGCCAAAAGCTCCACCAATCGGGAAGAAAAGTATTCAATAGAATGAGGAGGAAAAGCTGCATCGAATGACACCTTAGTTGTGCGCCGTTCTATGTTCTATGGTTCTTGACATCACCGAAAGTGGAATTTGATAGCTTCAAAGAAATAATCCTAAAAAAATTTTAGGGCTAACGATAGACGCCAAAAAATTCCATTAAATTGCACTTTGCTTACTCTATCCGACTGCTAAAGCTTCTCCAAAAGTCAAAAAAGAAAATTGTGAAAAATTGCCAAATTTGGACATAAAAGCCACGGGTTGGAAATTTCGGCCATTATCTCACTGACCACAAGAGCAAGCGACACAGTAATATGACTGCTGAAAAGAGGAAGAAAAAATGCGTCGGATAGTGCTTAAAGCGTTCTTCTATCTTCATTCCATGTGTTTTTATGATAGGTTGAAAAAACGGAAAGAACTTTCGGAACGACCTAACATTTAAAATTGTCCGCTTTTCTCGACATTTTTTTCGTAGCCCTCAAAATCCCAAAATATGGAGATTTTTGATTTTCTGTCTACTGAACAGCTTCCACATTTCTGCAAAAACTCTCAAGAGGAGGCCCACCCTTACGCTTACAGCAATGAGCAAAACTTTGGCGATTGCCCACTTCAAAGGAAATCTATGGGCCACAGAATGGTAAAAACCATCACTCATGTTGACCGAGATCTCAGTCCAAATATTCTAGGAGAACAGTAAAGCATGCCTAACGTAGAAAATTTCTACTACATACAGTAGTTAAATTTTCAAAAGAATGCCTTTACTCGCGCTTGAATTCTGGCTGAAAAAGTAAGTGCAATGAAATTCTGGTTTTGAGTGCGTTGTATGAAGCTCTATAAAGTGAATGAGGCTAAAAGCTTCTTTCAACCACCTTGAATAAAGCATGAAAGAAGCTTCTTGACAATATGCTGGGTAATTTCATAGGAGAAACTTCGATGGAGAAAAGCTATCTGGAAACAAGGGATAGGAAAACGCGCATTACTTTTGCACCAACCTAATAGTTACCACTGGGCAGTCTGGAAGTTCAAGCTTTTCACTAACGAAAATTGGAAATTCGCCAAAAAAATTCGGAAAATTCTCAAAAAATTTGATTTTTTATGTTTGACATGTATATATCAAAAATCTGCAACATTACACATAGTTTGGAGATAAGGAAAAATATATGACGAAGTTGTGAGGAGTTTTCCAGTGAGTGTAACAAACTTATGTAACAAAATATATGAAACCAAGTGGAGGCTACGAAGATGGTTACGAACTGGCTACCATACAAATATGCAGTAAACACAGTTCTTGACAGTATAGCCATGCTTATTTATTGCGCTTCGTACTGTCACACGTCTTCTGCCGTCAACACACCTACAAAAAGCAGGAAAAGCAAACAAATAAGCGTTAGCACGTTTTCTCAAGCCATTCTCAGAAGAAAAGAATTTTACGTGAAGAGGCAATGAAAGCGAAACTGTGCTGCCTCGTCGAGGACAGTAAAGTGGAGAAACCGCTGCAAATGATAGTAAAAGCTAATACGTAGCAGGATCAGCTGTGAGAGTAGCTGTGCAGCTTTGCAAGTTTAATGCATTCATGATACGAAATCGATACATTTATGCCACATGAGACTGGTACTTTTTCCGTATTAACCCAATTTTTCTCGTAGCTGTTTTTTGTACCTCTGTTTCGATCTAAAACCTTTTCTAGTAACAAGAAAGTGCTTAATTACAGAGCCAACAAAAGACTCCGGTTGGGATTAATCGTGGCTTACTGCCTAAGCTTACAAGGAAATAATTAAGAGTCAAAGTGCCATTCCATAGCAGTGGACGCAGCATAGAGGGATGACAAAAATCAGCGCTCGGCAATAGTTGGAGCCGTGTCAAGTTGGATATCGTCCTTAAAGGCAGCGTCCAGGCAAATCTGGACCTATGGGAGATTTTACGTGGAAAGTAATTTTAGGTCCCTAACTAAGACACGGCCCAAGCGGCAGCACCAACGACTCACTAACGGCTTGGATATATACAAAATTGGACCCCAGGATCGTAGTATTGGACGACTTGCATCGTGTTTGCATGCTTCCGCGCGAGAACCCACACAAAACGGATGCATTGCGCCTTGAATCCATGCGAAATACGACCTGGGGTCCGGTGTGGAGGCGAGTATCTCAGCCGTTAGAACACTATCTGAGCTGCCTTTGGGCAGTGTCTTAGGTAGGAAGGAGGAAAGCAAAGAAGACGTCGTATTTGCCGGGTCTGAGACAAAGCCCGGAGTAAATGACAGGCAAGTCATTCCAAAGACACCGCCTTCGAACCTCTGACTTTTGCTCTTGTTAACACGTTGACGACGTGCGCATATGTCCGTATGCAGCCCTGACTCCCGTTTAGCATGTTCGTGCATGGCCCGTATGCACGCTAGTTTTTTGAGTATAAGCAGAAATTTCTAAGCCACCTTCCATGCAGTAATATTACCGGTGGTCTGATTGTCTTATAAAACAAAGGGCATAGCGGCAGCTTTTCAGAGGTTTCAACCGCAAAATTGGGTGATCACTCCATTTTTGATGTGGTGGACATATGCTAATTATGTTTTTCCGAGAAGGCTGAAACTTTGTGTAGCTGTTTTGAAAGCAAGCAAGGAT